AGTATAACACTGGTACTGATAATAAAATGTTAGTTCACTCAAAAAGGAAAATTATGTTATTAATTACTAGTCCATATCGTTTCAATCCCCAGAGACCGTCGTTCTTTGTTCTTTGTCGGTCGTCGTTCTTCGTCGTGCTGTGTCAGAAATGCTACTACTCAGTAGATATTACATTTAAATTTGAATTTGCAACTCGACCGTTACAAAAGAATGTTCTATATACTGTAGTATGAACGGAACTCAGATTTACTACATCCACCATTTTGTCATTCTTAGACCATTTCAAAGTCCAGAAAATGCCAAAAAAAGCATTTTCAAAACAGTCCACATGCCTTCAGTGGCACATAATACAAAAAATTACTTTATTCAACAGTTTCTTCTCCTCAGTGTCAGTATAAGGCGCACATTCACAATAGCGTTGTGCACTGATGTACGCCTCGGATGCCCACGTGCGACTTCCTCTGTTTGAAACACAGCAGAGCCACATAATCGGGGTAATACATCAAAGGCGCATCCGAGAAACTGTTTATTGAAGTCACTAATTTTGATTATTGTGTGCATTTAGGTATTTATGTAGTGTATAATATTCTGAATAAAGCATTGCATATGGTCTGTTTTGAAGATTTTTTTTGGTATTTTTCTGAAATTTGAATGAGTCGGGGAACCATGCTGTCTATGTAAGATGAGGGAGCTCTTCGATTTCACCTAAAATCACCTAAAAGATTTTGCTTTATTTGGCTTAACCGTTCTTGGGTGGCTCACCAAAGTATTAGATGACTCTAATACATAAAATAAGTAATGCCGAGTTCAGACTGCATGATTTTCAAAGTAGTCGTATCACAGATGTTTTCACACTGCATGACTATCTGGGCTAGCGTTTTGTCGCTGCTTTGTTGACACTGCAAGATGGATCAGCGACAGGGGCTTTCACATTGCATGAATTAAAAGGAAGAATCGTCGACAACTTCATCCAAACTACGTCTCACAGCCAAAAACCCATAGTATGTATTTTGTTGTTAACTACATAATGAGAAAGAAGCCTTTAATGGGGTAGAAAATGTACATATATGCTCACCTGGGTTTGAAGGGAATTAGCAATTTCTCCTCAACTTTCTTTTTTTAACTTTCTGTATGAAACGTCAGTAACACTTTACAATAAGGTTCATAAGTTAATGCATTTACTAACATGAACTTATCATTAACAACAAATGTACAGCATTTATTAATCATAATTGAACATTTACTAATGCATTATTAACATCCAAGTCCATGCTTGTTAACATTAGTTAATGCACCATGAGTTAACATGAACAAACAATGATACACTGTATTTTCATTAACTAATGTTAACTAACATGAACAAATTCAGTAGCAAATGTATTGTTCATTGTTTGTTCATGTTAGTAAATGCATTAGTTAACATTAACTAATGAACCTTATTGTAAAGTGTGACCGAAACATCAAACAGACACGGGTGCATCTGTCAAACCTCCACTAGTTTATCCTCCATTTCTCGGGTCCAAATAAACCGAAAATGAGCGCTTTAAACTTCCTCCTCCCCTTCCCGCTGGCTAGCCTGCAGGTACACACACACAAGTGAATGCTGCTCTCTCATTGGCTGTAGGTGATTGCAGATGCTATTTTCAGTCAAAACTCATTTCACACAGCATGATTTGAATCTGTGCGATGTGCTCGCTTTTTTGCGTCTCGGGCGCCTCTCGGGAGCGCGCGCCGTTCGCGCCCGCGCTGTTCTTGCACGAAAACCCGCCGGATCGGCGGACCTAGCCGCCCTCCTCTTCCTGCTCCTCCTCCTTCCCTAAACCCGAGTGACGGTTTGCAAAAGCCGTCCAGAAAAAAAAAGCAAAAGCCCTCGTCTTCGATTTCGACCGCGTTTTCGGATCCCGCCGCGTTCTCGATCTTATTTTTCGGATTAAGTTTTTCGTCTTACCTGATTTCGTGAACCGCTGTTCCCCGGACTCGATCCCGGTCGTCGTCCCCGCGACCAGCTCCTCTTTCTCCGGGGCCTCCACTCCGCTGACGTAACGCTGTGAGCTAAGCGAACAAACTGGTTGCATCGGGAAAGCCCTCCACTTAGAGGCAAGCCGTCGGCCGGCGAGCACGAAGAGGAGGAGCGGAGAGGTGCCACACCGCCCCGCATCGTTCGCTCGAAAAAACTAAACGCGGCCGTACGTACCTCCGGCCACGTAAATCGCGGTCTCCAGAAACGTCCGGGGGGCTACGTTTCCAGAATGAGCTTGGGTTGAATCTATCAATGAGTAATTAATAAAATACCACTTTTAATGAGGGAACTAACACTTTAAGTACTGATAAACATTACTTTTTATTACCAGTTATTTATTTTTCTTAGCCAAGACTTTGGGTGCTTTCACATCTGTAGTTCGCTTCATTTGGTCCGCACCAAGGGCAATAAATGATACATTGTTGCATCTTCTGCCGTCGGTCCGAACTAGTTCAAACGAACCAAAATGCACTCATCTGACAAAATCCACATCTCTCGTTGGCCAGATGTTGTTGAACATATTTCCTAAACTGCTTATTGATTGGTCAGAATTCACGTGCGGGAAAATGCCAATGAACTCCCGCAGGTAAACAAAACCGGCAGAGACAAAATGTCGCTTTTTACTATGAAGGGATGACTGCGCTGACTGATTGCATGCCTGCTTTAGACAAACTATACATTTCGAGAATGAAGCGTGGTCTCGGCTGGAAAACAGTGTTTTAATTCATCGCTCGTCATTTCAGGAGGAGGCATGAATTAATTTAGCTAAACTGCGACATGCTCATCTTGCGGAAATATTACCAACGATCCATCAGGTAATGTTTTCCCCTCTCCCTCTCTCTCTGTTGGAAAAGCGCTGTCAACAAATATTTTTCCTTCATATCCCATAATGCACAGTGCATCGGCCTACGGCAGCTGAATTGGTCCAAAAGGCGCAGTACTTTTTGCGGTTGGACCTGTTTTAGTACGGATCATATTCTCACCACAAACGAACCGCTCCAGGGTTCGTTTGAAAGCGTACCAAGACCACCTCTTCAAGCAGGTCTCGGTACGCTTATTTGGTCCGCTTTTGATGCGCACTCAAGTACGATTGCTGCATTCTCACCTGCCCAAACGAACCGTACCAAAAGGGGAAACGAACACTAGTGCGATTCAATCGAACTAAATAAGGTAGGTGTGAAAGCACCCTTTGACTTGAGCAAGCAACTACAAAATCGATTGTCTACTGTTGAATGTCTGTAGAGTGCACAGAACTCAACGATAACACGTCTGCAATTAAGCTATAAATTAATAAATCTCTATCTCCATTGAGTGTGTGTGTTGTAAATTTATAATTTCCCCCCACAAAGCCTCCCGAGTGCTCGGTTTTCCACACTTACTGGCACATTAATTATTTTGTCAAGTTGTTTATGTGTTCCCACATTGCCCCAGTTGGAGAAGCGAACGACTGTGAGAGTGTGATTGAAATGAGAATGTACATCGATGCAGCACCTGTTTGTTTTCTTGGTTGGCAGCCAAGTGCTCCAGCCCTGAGAGCCCACTCCAACGCATTTGTAATAATCTTAAAGAAATAGATCAACATTTTTATTCATTCACTCGGATATATAATTGTTTCCGTCGAGCTGGAGTTTGACCAATGACCTGCTCTTCTTGTATGAAGAAGTCTGTAATTACATTTATCTCATTTGCAATTCCATCTGGAAGCTGTGTGCACTTAATACTGCCTACTCAGTGGTGTTGATAAGTTTAGGCGGTCTGACGATTTGCTCATTACCCTGTGATATTCGCACTTGAAATGGCTTTAAGAAACCTATTTCAAAGGCAAAAGAACCAATTGCTGTCTCTAGTAAAAGGGAAAGAGCCATACCAGACCGGGCATCACACTGAATGATCATTTCCACAACTATGTTGTAGGTTGTGTTCTCAGCATGTGATGATTAATATTTATGCGAGTGCTCTGTGGTGCTTGACCAAGATGTCTGCAGCATTCATGGCATGATTTGTTTTAATTAACTTCACCACAGGCAAACGGAAGAGACAGGAAACTTGAAAAATGCTACTTTAGTAAACTGATGAACACTGGCCTCGGGTTTTGCTGAGGCTAAACCACTGAGGTCTCTTTCATATATAAGCAGCTTTTTCTCCTCACGTTTATAAAGAGCTGCTTGCTGTTGCTGATTTTATATAGCAGGACTCAACAATAGGGATGGCCTGCTGGTCCAGGATTAGGGTGAAAGAGCTCTGAGTGAGTTGACACGCAGTTACTTATCCTATCAGACTTGTGCTGTGAAACTGAAATTGATATGCATTTATACTTTTAGCCCTTGATAACTTAAACATCTGGTTTTGTGTGATTTATTCTTCATTGTAGCAAATTCTGCTGACTTGACACTAAGAAAGAGTTATGTAACACAATGGTTCTCAATCAAAAAGCCTGATTAAGGGCATCAGAAAATATCAAAGGGGCACAGGTTAATAGTATTAGTGTAGTTTCACAAAAAACTAATTTCCAGAGAAGCACATGATATGATTAATCACAGCTGGTCATTATTTTAGTGAATTTGCAAAAATTACATAGGCTGTGTCCGAAATCGCCTACTACTCAGTAGGTATTGCATTTGAATTTGAATTTACTACTCGACCATTAGAAAAGTTTGTTCTATACAGTATGAATATCTGTAGTATGAATGGAACTCAGATGTACTACATCTGCCATTTTGTCATGATTATGTGATCTACCTGCATCAGTTCACTCCCATCCATAAATTCTTACGCAAAGCATAATGGTATAGCATAGTATCCGTTGGATGCACACTTCAGAATCTCACAGGAAGTAGAAGGTCATCCAGGTTCTTCTCGCATACTGTTTTTCGAATTTTTCAAATTCAGACATACTACTTGGCTTGCATTTTTAGTGTTCTATATAGTATGAAAGTATGCGATTTCAGACGCAGTAACAGACCAGAAGTCATTCTTTCCAATGGAGAGCAGTCCAGAAGCTGCACGGAGGTCCGATCATCTCCGTATGCAGAAAATTCATATCCGATTTGAGCTGCAGAATTGTTAAAATATTTGAACTCCTGCGACTAGAGGCCGATCGGATGTGATTTATTCCAGTGTTTTTCAAGCAGGTCAATGTGCACAAGATGAGAAATGGTAGTTTTCAGAGTTCACACTTAGCTGATGATTGATAATAAAGCTTGTTTGGCTTGCTGACCCGGGAGAGAGCCCTGAGCTTATGAGATCCGCAAACCCTGGGCTCCCTCCCCTGTGCAAGGCGAGAGCGGAGCTTAAGTAGATCTCCATAAACTCCCCTTGGCTTATTTCTAGCTAAATGACGGATATGGATGACTGAGGAGAGGTGTACTCGCTAAGAGCTTGGCTATGGTATCAATTTTGTGTTCAATATACTTTTGCATTACGTGTTTTTTGGACTTTGGGAGGAAACCTGGAGAACCCGGGAAAAACCTGTGCGAGCATGGGAAAAACGAGCAAAACTCCACACAGGAATGTCATCTGGTTTAGTAGGGACTTTAAACAAAGACATTCTTGCTGTGAGGCAACAGTGCTAATCACTAGGTTAAGAATCAGCTTCCCACCCATAGTGTACGACAAAACTGACATTTCTGTGCAGCTGCCACAAGGGGGCGTATTCCGACAGCTGTGTCCAAATGTCATGCAGTGGAAATGTAGCTATACTACAAGCAACTACAATTTTTTTTTTTAGCTTTCTAGAACATGTCTTTATCAGTTTGTATATTATATCTTTAGGTCACAGTACTTAGATTAACACACTCTACAGTTATTTGAACCCACTTTATAGCTGAAACACTGATTGAAACCTGTCTAAAGTCCTTTAGTTTGTTGTGTGTGCTTTTCCTTTTCCAATGTCCACCTCTGTTCATGTTGTATCTTCTGTCCAGACATTTCCTTCAGTCTCCTGCTGCTTGTATTTGTGGTGTGCGGTTTGGCCCTGCTGGGTGTCATCAGCGTCGCCACCTGGAAGCTGTGCTGGGTGTCCTGGCGCAGCAAAGTGCTTTCCTCTAGCGCCACCGCCCTTGCTCCCACCCAGCCAGAGAGAGAACAACCCAGAGAAGAAGGTCACGGTGACTACTACCCGGCCCTCAGAGACATTATGGCAGCAGACAAGCTGAAGGATCCTGGGAACTTTCTGGAGGCGGCAGTGAAGATTAGTCATACGTCGCCAGATATCCCCGCAGACGTGCAGCTGTCCATGAAGGATCATCTTCTGAGACGGACGCGTATCTCACGGCAAACAACCGAGCCGGCCTCCTCCAACAGGTCAGTGTTCTGGAAGAATGAAGAAATGCTTGTCTCAAGACCTTCTTATAGGTCATTGCAGTTTACTGTATTTACAAAGCCATTATGAGGTTAGCTCCAGTCATTCCTAATCATGTTAATACTTTGGAAATCTCGTAAATGTCAGACACAATTAGACCCGAAGTTCGTCTCTGGGACTTATTGACTACAAAGAAGGTCAGACAGTGGAAAAAACACAATAAACTCTCAGAAATAAAGGTATAAAGGTTGTTGCTGGGGGGTATCTTTTCATAAGGTACACATTTGTTCTTTTTAGGTTCTAATTTAGACACTTTACAATCTTAAAAGAAGAACCTAAAATGTTTTTCTTTATAGTGATGCCATAGAGGAACCTTTGATGGTTTCATAAAGGATCTTTTAGAAAAATAATTCTTGAAAATAAAAGTTTTATCATAGCCTAAAGTACATTTAATCTTAAGCATGTTTTTCCACTATAAAGAGACTTTTGTCCTTTTTTTGTTTGTTTGTTTGTTTGATTGATAAAAAGGTGCTAAGGATGTTAAACAATCTTCCTGGAATCATCAATGCCAAAAGATAACCTTTATTAATAAAGGGGAGGTCAATCAGCGTTGTTCGAGTGCTCTGCAACACTTCACTGAAGCTAAGCAGGGATGTGCTCAGTCAGTATCTGCATGGGATCCCACATGGGAAAGCTAGGTTGCTGCTGGATGAGGTATTAATGAGACCAGCAGCTAGTAAAAACAGAATTTGCTGCGTGAATCTTTTCTTTATTTAATAACTGACTTGTGTCTCAGAAGGCAATTTAGACACGCAATGAACATGTGGTGGCGTTTGAAGGCATGAGACGCGGAGCATAGATGCTCTTGACTCTGTAGGTCATTAATAATATAATAACACTAATACTGAAATAGTTAAGGTGTTTTAGAATGAACAAAACAACATTACTAATGTTTTACAGTATGCTCAGCCTGCTGATTTATCCATTCACACACATTTTTATCATCGCATAATTTCTTATAACAAAATCACATGACCTTTTTTTAATGCGCATACTGGAATTTGTTTGATAAACGTGTTACCATCACAGTTTATGCACATCTTTTCTTATTGAATAAAAACTTTATCCTACTCAGTTAAAATTTATGCACATCATGGCATTTCCATCAACCGTTTTTTGACGTGCATCTCCAAAATGCGCATAAAATAGGTTGATGGAATTGTCTTCACTCCACTAATCAGCTGTTGTGTGGTGTGCAGATTGGCGCAATATGGCTGCCGTCACGTCATCCAGGTGGATGCTTTAGTCTGGTGGTGGTTGAGGAGATTCTCCCCAACTTATCAACTAATAAAGGGCTTAGTCCTTTTAATAATCCGGGGTCGCCACAGCGGAATGAACCGCCAACTTATCCAGCACGTTTTTACACAGCGGATGCCCTTCCAGCAGCAACCCATCTCTGCGAAACACACACACACACTCATTCACACTCATACACTACGGAAAATTTTGCTTACCCAATTTACCTATCTTTGGACTGTAGGGGAAACCGGAGCACCAGAGGAAACTTACGCGAAGTTAGAGAGAACATGCAAACTCCACACAGAAATGCCAAGTGACCCAGCCGAGGCTCGAACCAGCGACCTTCTTGCTGTGAGGCGACAGCACTACCTACTGCGCTACTGTGTCGCCTATTATTATTATTATTATTATTATTATTATTATTATTATTATTATTATTATTATTATTATTATTATTATTATTATTATTATTATTATTATATCACACTCTGCAAGGCAGTTTCTGCCCTTATACATTTCTGTTGACTTTTTGGTTGGAAGCTCCTCCAACAGACATAAGAAATAAACTTGGTTGGTCAACTGGCCCAGTCTGTCCTCATAGCTAACCGGACATTTTCAGAAAAAGCCACACAAGGGTTTATGTAGATTACAGGGAGTGTAATGTCACTAACCCAGAAAGAAGCTTGTTGTAGTCTCTACTAGCTGTTTGTTTTTGGCCTCAATAAGCGAATTCTGTATAAGAAAATACCTCTCTTTGCATTGAATGTTGAGCGTTGTAACTTTTCAAATGTTGTTTTTCTCAAACAGCAGCATAACACACAAACTGAAAAACTGAGTAAAAAAGGTACTATCCCAGTGACAGCTTATGTCCCCTTTTTCTGACAGTGTATTTTACGAGAATATAGCGGGAAACTAATAGCACATCCCAAAATATCACCATCAATTTGCATTTTGATCATGGTTTATTATTCAAATGTAGATTAGCACCTGGTGTGCCTTTTGTGAAAGAACCAATACAGAATGATTCACCCACTAAATTTTGTCTGAATGTTGCCAGGCATAGTTCCTTTAAGAAGCACCTTCCCAGGCAGATGCACCATGTCACCAGTCTGGACCGCGGAAGTGAATTTTTAGACGTGGAGGACCATCCCAGTTGCACCGCTGCCTCTCTTGGACGCATCCAACCGGAACTTTATAAACAGAGCACAATGGAAGCAGAGGATTCTTCTAAAAATGACACTGACAAATCATGCGGCAAGATCAACTTCTCCCTAAAGTACGATTATGAGGGAGAGCTCCTCCTCGTCACTATCCTCAAGGCATTCGATCTTCCTGCAAAGGATTTGTGCGGGAGTTCCGATCCATATGTCAAGATCTACCTGCTGCCTGACCGCAAGCGTAAATTTCAAACTCGTGTTCACCGCAAGACGCTCAACCCCACGTTTGATGAGACCTTTCAATTTCCAGTACCATACGAGGAGCTGGGGTCCAGGAAACTCCACTTGAGCGTTTTTGACTTTGACCGCTTCTCACGGCACGACATGATTGGCGAGGTGATCCTGGAAAACCTCTTTGAAGTTTCAGACCTCTCGCGAGAGACGTCCATCTGGAAGGACATCCAGTACGCCACTAGCGTAAGACAATACATCCTCTTTACTAATTTAGCAAGCCCAGACCCCAATGGTGATTTATCACATTAGCATGGCTTAATGTGACCCTAATGATTTACTTTTCTAATATAGGAATCCACTTCTATTGAATATTTCTCTGGAAACACAAACAATGAATAATTAGATGATTCATAGACTATGTGTCCTTTGGGGTGTGATATGGTAATTTGTCGAAACTATAATTACCTAACATGATAAATTGTGCAATATACATACAGTAAGTACCAAAAACATTGAGGGCAATAAATAAAGATTATTGCTTTATCCTTTCACAAAAAAGAGTCTGCAGTAAATCATAGTTGTCATAAAGTAAAGAAAATCAAACCTCTATCATTATTTATTTACCCTATCATGTTTCAATTCAGTATTGCTTTTCTTCCTTCTGAAGGTATTTTCAGTGACTGTATAATGACAGTGGAGTCCAAAAGAAAAAATATCCTCTTTATATGCATTAAATCACTAAGATATTTAGTAAGATATCCTGTTTTGTGTGAATTGCATATGTATCATGTTCAACTTAACTCAGTTAACTTTCAATATCATTTTGTGTCTGAACAGTTGCATTAATTGCCAACAGTTTTTTATTCATCAAAAATATTTTGTGCAGATATTTAGCATCAGATATAATGTGTTATAGTGTGAGTCCTGTTCACACTAACAATAATCCACAAAACAATATCAGCACAGAATAACCATAATGTAAATCCTTTTCTGTATAATTTTCCTAGCTGATCAATGATAACAGCATTGACAGAAAATCTAAATCCCTTCTGCTTTAAATAACTCAAGCATTCCAATATATCCAGTGCTCAGCATAAATGAGTACACTCCATTTTGAAAATAAATATTTTTATCCATTTCTAAGTTAATAAAGATAATATATGTTGGTGCATTTAAACAAAACTGATTTATTAAACAGATATATTTATTAAAATAATATTTTAGTCACCAAACATATTTAGAAACAGAAAGATTATGTATTTAAGTCTAAGTAAAATATTGAAACACTATACAATAAGGTTTCATTAGTTAATATTGGTTAATGTATTTACTAATTTGAACTAAGTATGAACAATACTAGTGCAGCATTTATTAATCATAGTTCAACATTTACTAAAGTCTTATTAAAATCCAATTTCATGCCTGTTAACATAGTTAATGCACTGTGAGTAAACATGAACTAACAATGAACAACTGTATTTTCATTAACTAGTGTTAACTAACATAAACAAATACTGTAATAAATGTATTGTGTGTTGTTTGTTCATGTTTGTAAATGTAATTACTAACATTAACTAATACAACCTTATTGTAAAGCGTTAATATTTTTTGTTTTCTCTTGGTTTTTCCACTTTATAATTTTTTATGTAAAAAATTCCTAGAATAAACATTTTGGTGTAAACATTTTAAGATGCTGATTTAAAGTTTTTGTTCTGGATCTGGCTTCAGTACTAACCAACCTATTGTATAAGCACAAATATAATATTGCAAAGAATCTTAAAGAAAATATGAATAGCCAGCACTAATAGTAACAGTTTTTGACACCAGTAAGCTACAAGCATAAATTAGGCGTCATTGGAAAGAAGACACTCTGGGCTTTACTGTGGTAAAAGGAGAAGTTTCTTGCTCAAAAATATAAAAAGTTTAACATCATAAAGTCATGAGAAAAAAATGGTATTGTGTTCAATATTTGTTTTTCAATATACAAACACAGGAAATGTAATATCCTAGAAAAAATATACCTTGAAAGCCAAGTGTTTCATAAGTTTATATTTCAGATTTAGTGAAGATAGCATGCAAAATAAGATTTCGGGAAAAAAAGTTTTTGAGACTATATCAGTGTCCTTCTTTTCCTCATCGTCAGAGGCATTTTCTCAAAAATGACCTTCCCAAACTAAAAAATTAACAGTTGCTGAATAATTTGGTTTAGATTCACAGTTCATGTACGTACATATCTTTGGAAAGAAGACACTTTGAACTTTATTATCCATCATCTACAGTTTATAGTGCTCAAAATAAAAATAAATATAGATGAAAAAATATAAGATGCTTAAGTATTGGAAAAAAAAATTGCACCGAACTAAACATTTTATTATTTCATAAACAAATATATGAAATTAGTCCTGGAGCAATACAGAAAAGTAATAGGTCAAAAGATACGTATCTCCTGGGTATTTGTTTCGAATTTGATGGCAATGTCATGCAAAATGAAGTTTTTGGAATTATTTTTCTAAGACAATGTCTTTTGATTTTCTCCCTCCCCTTGTTTGTGGAGAAGCAGTCTGATGACCACACGTATACTGAAGGTTTCTAACAACTATTTTCGTCTTTTCACATACTACTTATTTTCTTAATTGCAAAAGATAGATTTGTGAAGGATGTACTCTTATATGCTGAACACTGTATGTCTTTTTTTATGTTGGTTTACATTTTAAAATGACAGTGTCAGTGCTAAATGAACCAGCACCAAATGTATTATGTTCATTTTTGCCCCAAACCACACAAACCAGAGAATTTACCTACAAGCATGAACACAACCTTAATCTTTGAAATGTAATAAAGTAAAAAGATTTTCATTTCCCAATAAGGACAAAGTATTTTTCATGATCTGTGGTTTCAAAGCAACATATTCATCATATTAAGAAGTTTAATTAATAACATTTCCTACGGGATAATTTTGGTGCATTAGGACTCTTGGTTCTTCTTAGTATTTTCTCTTGTTGTGAGTTTTTGAATGTAGTGTTTTTGAACTATAAGTTTGTATCTCTTCTTCTCAGTAGACAATTTCTGGCAGTATAAACAGTTGCCTTGGGTTTTGGAGGGCAAAACTCTCAGACTTGCACTTCACTTCTGTATCGCTCGACGCAGCTGAATTGACAGCCTTGTGCAGCTTGCTTTCAGTTCCACCCAAACACTCTCAATGAAATTTAACTTTTCCAAGCAGCTTTTCTGGCTTGTCTGGTCTCGCCAAGGGCACCATTTGAGTCAGGACTGCCACTGCTTCTTGTTACATTTGACTGAAGATACTCCAGCTATTCACTGCCTATGCAAATCATAAGTAAAATGTCTGGGCATAGAGAAGATTGTAGACTGGCAATTGACGCAATGAAAAAAGCAACAAGACTGCACAGATAACTTGTAAAACAGCGGATGCTAATGATATTACTGATACGTCAAGCACACAAACTGCAGTTCAATGAACCCAGCTTGCTCAGTGACTCATGAAATTGTCTTGGAGGTAATTGCACTCTCATCTTACTACAGTAGAGTGCTCAGCTATGATTATAACATTGCTGAGAAAATATGTATGTGTATACGTTTATATGTTGATTTATTGTAGTGCAAGCTAAAGAGATGCACAGCTGTCAATATGGGTTAAATGTTGGAGGAAGACCTAAGGATGTGTGATCCAGTCACTCAATACCTTGTTGACTTGTGTATTGAATGTTTTGTGCAAATTAATACGATCAATTTATTGACTGAAGTTGGCTGTGGACACCATGACAGTGATGTCTAGATTTAAGGCTTGTTAAAGACACTAAGTTTAAGCTGTGACAACAGCACCTTTAAATGACAGAATATTATCTTTTGTGTACAGAATACAGAAGTGATTCACAAACTCGCAATGTTTGATGGTAGAAAAATCTATTTGTGTGACATTTAATGTATGCTGAATGAAAGTTTTATTAAAAAACTAAAATGATAACTTACCCTCAGGTCTTTCAAGATATAAATGCATTTTTTCCTTCAGTAGAACATTAAAGGACATTTTTGGTCCTTTGTGAGTCATAACATTATTTTATCATTATCATTTAATTATTGGATGCTGCAATCCAAAATAAAACATAAGATCACATTCAGATGTGCAATTTCAATTGAAAATGTTCGAGGTTACTAAAGTAACCCTTCGTTCCCCGAGGAGGGGAACGGAAGCACTATAAGTGGATTGATGTTAAATCCACGTATGGGAGATTCGGTTCAGAAGCTACTCGTCTGAAAGAGTATTGAACGGGCCAATTAAGAATGAATTGGCAGCGCAAGCCTGCGCAGGTGTGCTGCAAAGGCAATTAACTGAGCATATAAGCACACCTGGCGCCAGCAGACGCTATCCTTTTTAAGCTGAAGAGACTTTTAACAGCTAAGGAACAGTCATTATGACGACGGAGTATAGTGCTTCCGTTCCCCTCCTCGGGGAACGAAGGGTTACTTTAGTAACCTCGAACGTTCCCCTTCGGGGGAAACTCCAGCACTATAAGTGGATTGATGTTAAATCCACGTATGGGAGCCCATTGAAAGCGCCATAATGACTGCACCTTACCAACACCCATCATGAGAGAGCAGTCAGGCAAGCGTGACGCACCCAGATCATGAGAGGCGCGGTCCTCCAACGTGCCCTTGGCCCTAACTTATCCTACTTCAAAAGTAGTTTTACGAAATAGGTATATATATATTTTTTTGTCGCTAGCGTCTAGATAACTCTAGGAATATACGACAGTACGTTGGGAAGCGTGCCATCCCAGTAGGGAGGACGCTGCGGCGACCATCCGCACCCAATAGGGAACAAAATGGAATTACATATGGACTAACCCTGAGAAGGGGGAGTGCGCATAAGAAGGTGGTTAGCGGATAGGGAAAGCACGGGTCCACCCAGAGGGGGGAACTTAACCGTGGCGGAAAAGCATATGGGGATCACCAGCGGGGATCGGCCATAGCAGGCACCTATACCCAAAACGCGGGCTGACCAGCGGGCAGACCTACAACGTAGTGGGCCAGCAAGTGACTTCTCCGCTGAGTCAGTGCTGGGGGCCTCGGAGGAATCTGCAGGGCTCACCAAATGGGGAACTTTACTGACAGACAGAAGGTTGCACATATCTCCGTGTTAGGAAAAAAAAAGGCACCGCAAGCGTGTTACAACACCTACCGAGTTGTTTCCTCAATCACCAAAGGTCCCTAACACCCTTGAG